TCCTTTATATACATATACTGTAAATGTAGGCGTGCGCTCTAGTTTCCACCATTTATGAATAATGTCCAATTTCTTGCGTTATCCTTGCTGGCAAACGCAGCTGCCTTGATCTTCCATGCATTCGTTTTCAAAGCGGTGGTTGCCACTTGCACGGAATAAAATGGCTCCTCCGCCCACAGCACAGCTTTGCCTTGCCTGCGAAAGCGTGCACGCTTTCCCGTATGCAACCAGCCAAAATTCTACCTGGCTCCCCTTTGCTGGCTGGGGAATTCTGGGAGTTGAAGTCCTCCAGGCTTAAAGTGGCCAAGGTTGGAGACCCCTGTGCTAGAGATGAAGGTGACTTCATCTTGGTCTCTGTCTGCTGCAATGAGAGGCAAGCCATAAGGAAAGGCTCTTGTTTCCACCCAGACCGTCTCCACTTCGTGCTTCTTAGTAACACGGAGAGTAAAGTCGAAATGGGTTTATGGCCAGTCACATCTCTGCCACTCAGGATTCTCTGCCGGTATGAAGGACTTTTGGCCACCATTTCAAAAAAGCCAGCAAGGTGATATTATTATTACCCCAAGCGCCCCAAACTCTGTTCTAAGCAAGCCAGGATCTCTAAACGTCCAGAATAAGCCTGCATGCCCCAGTACCTGACTTTTTGTTAGCCAGGGAGGGGGTGCGGGGGGAGGCAGGGTGGCTTTGCATGACTTACATCAGTGGTGGCTGACCTTTTTGGGTTCCCGTGCTGAAAATTGCACATCCGCTCACTCGTGTGCCAGCCCCCACAAGGCAAGGCATGTGGGGTGGGGGGGCACGCCCCCGTGCATGCATGTGCAACTCCCCCACGTGCCCGGCATGTCTCAGTACATGTGTGCGCATCAGATCCCTGATGACCAGCTGTTGGGGGGCAGCGTGTGCGCATGCGCAGTGGGGCTCTTCTGGGTGACCTCTTGTGTGCGGGCAGGAGGTGGCTCTGCATGCCATAGGTCCGCCATCCCAGACTGACATCATAAGCAGCCGCTGAGCCCAATTTTGGGGAAGTTGAGGACATGCAGAGCCATGAATGAATTCCCCAGGTTGAACATGCCAGCCTGGTTGGTCTGAGATCCCACAGAAGCCTTGGCTGGCAAGGCCTCAGCCCCAGCCTGAATTAGTGGGGAACGAACGCCAGGCCTTCAAGCCCCCAGAGGTGGAAGAGCCGGGCGAGCCGGGGTTGCGGGGAGCCATTCAAGCCCTGCTGGAGAGGCAACAGCGGCGAAGCGAAGGGGGGGCTCGGGCAAATGTGCCCCTCCACCTCTGCTCCTTCCTGCGAGGCCCGTATGTTAAGTTGCCCCCCTGGGAGGAGCCGAGAGAGGACGAGGGAGAGGAGGGCCGGAGGGCAGCAGCTCTGCCCCTTGAACCTGCACTTGACGATGGGGGGTATTCCATGCCCCCCCCTTCCTAACCCCCCCCACTTCTCCCTCAGTTTGCAACATGACCCTTGATGAAACTCAGCTGCGGTTGCCAAGGCAATCGGATGTCGCCCTGGCAACCATAACCACCTTATGTTCGTTAGTTTGAAGAAGGTTCCCCGTCTAACAAAGGAAATTGCTTTGGGCAGCTGTGCCAGTATCGAAGGGCGGGCACCACCATCCCACCCCCACAACGACCACGGGGCAAAGGACCGCTACGGCGCTGCTCTGGCCCGTTTCAGGTCCTTTGTGCAAGAGACGGACGTCTCCAGCAGGGACCAGAGCGGGGCTGGGCGGGGGTGCCAGGGCCTGGACAACAGGGCCACCTCCTCTGCCCACGTAGCCCCGGGAGGACGGAGGCGGAGCGAGGCCGCTCCCTTGGGGACCGGCCGGGAGCTTCCGAAGAGCTTTTGGCAAGCGGCCACGGTCGGCCACGGTTCTGAAGGCTCTCCGAGAGGCAGTGAACCGTCACCAGGGGGGTTGAGTGTGACGTGCAAGGCCGCAGCTTTTGAACTGAAGGCCGGGCTGCTGCCTGGGGGCCCCCCTGACTCCAGAAAGGACTTCCAGCCGAGCTGACCCACTCCCCAGTTGCAAGCAGCTCAGCTCCAAGAGGGGAAGAAATCCTTCTGCTGGCCTCCTTTCAGAAAAGGATCGGGGTGCCACCCCCCCCACCCCCCCACCCAAATGTAAACAAACATCCCAACTCCAGAAATGATGGGGGGGGAAAATGGTGATTTAGCTCTCTCTGGCACCATTAATATCCCTAACCACGAAAGTACTAGGAGAAGCCACAGCTGTTTCTATTGAAGGGGGGGGGGGGTTGCCGCGCCCCTTTCCCCCCCCCCGGTGGGGGAGGGGGGGGGGGGGGGGCTCCCTTTGCAAGGGCAGCATCGCAGTTGTCTGCAGCCAGACCTGCCAGGGATGAAGCTTCCTGGTCCAACATAGCCGCCTTATTTCCTCACCTGGCAAATGGTGGGGTGGGGGGGTGGGGGGGTGTCCTTGCTCTCTGACCCTGCAGGAGCTTCCCTCCTCCAAAGAGAGGGGGGGGTCTCACTCTGCAAGGGCCACTTGGAGAGTCTTCGGGGAAGGAGTGGATGAAACACCCGTCGAGGCTGCTTGACCCTCTCAATGGCCAGCCTTTCCAGCATCGACGCCTTGACCACCACACACAAAGCTGCCCTTGCAGGCCACCCCTGGGACCCCTGAACTGAACAGAGCCTCAGTGGGCCTCATCACCCCCCATGTGGGGCTCCAAGCTTTGCTGGGCCCCCCTCTTTCTCCCTGCCCCTTCCGCTCCAGCTGCCGGAGCCACCCAGGCCACAGATGCCCTCCAGCTGGGGCCCTGCAGCCTTGGGCAGCGAAGGCACGTGGGGGCCCAGCCAGCCAGCCGGGGGTTGAAGGGTGCCTCTGCTTCCTGGCCTGGCTCTCCTCCAGGCCCTACTCATCAGTAGGAAAGAATGCGGAGGGGCCTTCCGGGGAGCAGGATTGGGGCCGCCTGGCTGGGGGCTTCCTCCGCCCAGAATGTCCCTTGTGCTGCGTGGCTGCAGCCCCCTCTGCCCCTGCCCAGCTCCTCCGAGGGGATCCGTGCAGCCAGAGGACAGGATCAGCTGCTCTGTGGTTTCTCAGACTTGCAAGCCCTGAAGGGCCAGCCAAGCCCCTCTTGCCCCGAGGGTGGCCAGAGGAAGTCCCAGGCTGGCACAGTCCTAAGCAGGAAAGTGCTGGGATTCATCTTTTTTACTACTGGTTCTGAGAACGTGGCTTGGCGTGGCTTGGTAGGTGTGGCTCGGTGGGCCTGGCAGGGGAAGGATACACCGCAAAATCCCCCTTCCCTCCCCACCCCACTGACCTGCTTTCCAGCTCCGTTCTCCTGTGCAGGGCAACCAAAGGAGACCCAGCCGATCAGCTGGGACTCAATGGGAGGCAGAGAAGAGATGGGGCTGGCGGGGCCAGTCAGAGGCGGGATTGGCCGCTTCTCCCAACTACTCAAAATTTCTGCTACCGGTTCTCCAGAACTGATCAGAACCGGCTGAATCCCACCTCTGCTTTGGTCCCTGGAAAGGCCTGAAGGCACCATGGCTTGACCAAAGGGGTGGGCCGGGGCAGACAGCAGCTGCGCTCTGGCCAGCCCAAACACACACACACACCCCGTGGCCCCATCCAACGGGGCCGGCCCCTTTGCATTGGTGGGGCTTTCTCAGCCCCCCCCTCCCTGTCAGACTCATCCCCAGCTGTCTACAGCGCAGGCAGATCCAACTGGCTTGGGTTGGGGGGGGGTGTCGCATGGCAACTGCGACGCTTCTCAAACTATTCTCTCTCTTGCCACAATTCCCTAGAAATACCGAGCCAAAAATAAAAGGAAACGAAAGGATCTCGGTTTCAGCCTGTGAAACTCACTGCCACCAGATGTGGCCTTCTGCTCCAAAGGCTTCGGAAATGGGATCAGGCTAAGCGGCCGGGGGGGGGGGAGGCCTCCCCGTGGCCATCGGGCAGGCGTCGCTCAGGCGCCTCCATCTTCCAAGCGGCCCCCAGGGCACTTCTTGGGCATCCCGGGGAGCTTCCCTGGACCCCAGTGTGGGTGGGCCGGATCCAAGAGCATGCAGGCTGGGGGTCCCGTCTCCCCCAACCCCCCCCTCTTTCCTCCTCCCCTACGGCCGCCCCCCTCTGCCTCCTTTTCTGGCTTCCCTTGAAAACAGCGCCACCTAATGGACAGATCCCCTCCCCAGGCTGAAGCCTCTGTTTACATTCAATACAGGGGATTATTCGAAGATACGACTTGGTGCGTTTAATGCTGTGGCCTTTCGCTACTGCTAGGAAATTAAGAGGGACGCAGGGGAAGGGGACAGGCATAATTTCCCCTCCCCTCCCTGCCTGTCTCCTCTGTTTCCTGAATCTTATTGGGCAGTTTTTACCAAAAGCTTTTTAAAAAATCACCCATGTTTCTATCATTCAGAGAATCTTTTCCTATTTTCAGTCGGATGAAATGCATTTCTCAGCGATTCTTTAATTAATCCTCCCCGCCCCCCCAATGTTTTCTTTATCCACTAGATTTCATTTCTTCGGTTAGATTTTTCTTGTTTTCAATTATTAGTTTTAAGGTCTACATTTTAACTGTGAATTGTACAAATCCTGATGTACGAAACCCAAAAACAGAACTCCTTTCGTTATACCCAGATAACATCCAGTAATCATATTAAAAAGAACTGAATAATAGTGTTTATTGTAGATCTTAATAAAATGCCTGATTATATTAACAATCTGTGCAAACTTTTTATCTTATTCTTTTGATTGAATGCTTAAATTATCAGGGAGGATCCAAAGAATTCAGTCTCCAGTCGCCTTCCAGACGCCGGTATAAAAAGAAGGGAGCTCTTTGGCAGCTTCTGTGCAAGTTCTGTTTCAAACTAGCACTGGGCGGAAGCGCAATCCGCAAACCTGGGTTTCTAAAACTCCCTTTGAGGAAACCGGATTTTTGTGCAAGCTCTCCCTGGGAGTGACAAGGGTTAAAAAGCACCCCACCTTCCTCTCTCTCTCAGGCACGCAGACCCCCGCCCCTCTCCTCTCAAAGTACAGGGCAGCTCCAGCAGGTGGGAGGACCAACGGCCCCTCCCGGAGATCAGCGCCAGGAGCCTGTGGGGTCCAAAAGGCGAGAGGGGCAGCGGGGGTAGGTGGGTGGTCATCGGCCCCCTCAGAGTCTGGCAACTGAGAGGCAGATGTTTGAATCTAGAGATGGGGTCGCCGGACTGGTCACATCACTCTGAACCCAGAGGTTTTAGGGCGCCCTGGGCTGAGTGACCGGTGGGAGTGTTTGAAGAGGGCTGGACGGCGGGTGAAACGCTTTGCGCTCGGAAAAGCAGCCCGTCTTTTGGTCTATTGGCCTAGTAGTGTTCTGCATGCAAGCGGTTTATAGGGCAAGGGGGCCTTCTGCCATGCAAGGATCTGCCCGGGTGGGGGTCCCGTGGGGTCCCTCTGGGTTTCTTTGAAGCAGGACCGGAGTAAAGCGAGCACCTCTATATCTCTTTGGCCTCTTCCCAGCGAGGACCCCAATAATCCACAGCTGTCGCCCAAAGCACATTATTTCTTGAAAAACTTCTTGTTCAGAAGGAAGATTAGAAGGTTGATGTTGATTTTGGCTCGGTCGAACATTTTCATGACAGCCACGCCTTCATACTGGAGCTGGAGGAGGTCCTGAGCGGAGAGAAAGGGGTCTGGCATGGGCCAGGGTCTCCTGCTTTGAGCAGGGAGGGGTCAGACTAGAAAACCTCCATGGTTCCTCCCAACCCTTCTGCGGCAGAACATCTCCGCGTGAACCCTCGTTCCCAGGGCCCAGAATGGTTCAGGTGGGATTCCTGCAAGTGGTGGTGGGGGGGGGTGGCCTCACTCGGTCGACCACCATCATTAAAATCCTTAAATAAGCCCCGCTCAGCCGCCCGCTTTACCTGGTAACTAAGCTGGAAGTTCTCCATATTGACCCCCATAAACTTCGCCTTGACCTGGAACTTGCCAGCTTCCCGGGAAGGGATAATATCAAAGATGACATTTCTAAGTCTGAAAAAAGAACCGGGGGGGGAGAGGAATTAAAGCCGCGGCGTTGGGGGGTGGCAGGCGCTGCCGGGGGGCGGTTTGCCTTTCCCGCAGCACCCCGAGAGAGAGAGAAAAGTTTGGCCCCTCGCTCAGTGCAGCCGGCTGGGATGCCCGGCGTCCTGCTCCCTCCCAAGACGCTCCCCAGGATGCCCCCCCGGGGGTGGGGGGGCGGGGGGGGCATGGCAGGAGCCAGGAGGGGAGGATCTGGACTCACTGGTTTGGCGGGAGGGCCTCAATCTCCAGCAGGACCCCCTTCTCAAACAGGCGGGCCGCGGTGTAGTGCAGCACAGCCTGTTTCTTGCTGGGCCTGAAAGGAAGAAAAAGGGGTCAGCCTGGATGGACGCCAAGCCTCGCCCCCCACCCCACCCAAAATTGGCTTTCCTTCCGCCTGGGCCCCAGCCTGGTCAGCGGGGAAGGGGCCAGCCCAGGTTCCCGGCTCCCCCCACTGGCCAGTCTTCCCACAGTGGACCTGGGCACAGCTCCCAGTCAAGGAATGTCGGGGGGGGCGGGAGCCTCTGCTTGGGGAAGGGAAATGGGGGGCCGGCGGTGTTGCAAGGCCTTTCCGGTGGGGGGAGGGGAACGGCTGCCATGTCCTTTTAGTGGCTCCCCTGAAAGCCACAAAAGAGGGAGAGGTGGGGGGGGCCCCCCCCCCCCTACCGGGGGGGGGGGGGCTCAAGGCAGAACCTCACTTCACTGCCCCCCCCAATGGGAAGAGATGAGGAGCCCCTCCCCACTTTCTTTTCAGGGGAGGTTGCGGTGTCCCCTGAGGGCTGCCCCTGCCCCTCACCTGCCCTGGCCACACCCGCCAGGTGCTCTTTATCCCCCAGCCGGCAAGGGCCCCGTACCTGTCTGCGGCGGCCAGGTTGTCCAGGCAGGTGCGGAGATACTTCTGGTAGTAGCCCACCTGCTCCCGGTAGAAGCGGCGCTTGGAGGCCAGGCCTCGCAGGGTCTGCTGCAGCTTGGCCAGTTGCCCCCTGCGGCACTGCCGGCGATGCCTCTGACAGCGGATGTCCTGCGGGGAGGGGAGAGCGGCCCAATGTGCCGAGAACGGCCCCCGCCCCTCCTCTGGGACCTCCCACCCCCACCCGGCTTCTCAATCAACTCCCAGGCGGCCCCCTCATCTCAGGAGGGAAGGATCAGGTCTCCTCCACCTTGGCGACTTCAACTCCCAGCTATGCTAAATGAGGAATTCTGGGAGTTGAAGTTCCCAGATCTTAAAAGTCACCAAGGCGGAGAAGCCCCCTGCGCTGGAGGCGCCTCCCCTTGGCCCCCCCAGGAGAGGAACCTTCCCCACGGCCGGCCTAACATCGGCTTCCATGCTATTTTACTCCTCCCGTTTTGCAGCCACCGTCAGCCAAGATGGACAGCCCCCCCGCCCCCCCCGCCAGGTAGGCCAGAGAGCGGAAGAGGCCAGGGGTGGCCAACCCTCCTCCCGCAGGGCACCTTCTCCGCCGCCTGGGTCACCTGGGCAATCTCGCGGAGCAGGGCCTGGGGCTGGCCGGCCGAGCCCAGCAAAGCCAGGCGCTCCAGGTTCTGGAGGACTTCCTGCTTCTTCTCCGCCAGGGAACGATGGGCCCGCTCTTGGCCCTGCGGGTGGCCAGCGGCCCTTCTCCTCCGCAGGAGCTGTTGGTGGAGCTGCTCCTGCGGAAAAGGAGGCTGCAACTTGGACTGGTGGCTGAGGGACCGGCCCTAAGTGGACCAAGTCAGCTACAACCCAAACATTCCTACACAAGCGGAGGGTCCCGTCGGTGTCTCTCCGCAGATGAGTGGCTCCCGTCATTCCAACCGCAGAGCTGATCGCTTACTGGCCTCCTGAGGGCCAAGTGGGCTCCAGGGCAGCTGTCCTGGGGGTGAGGGAGACCCTTCCCCACAACAGGAAACATGAAGGAAGGTGGGGCTTTTATTCTCTTCCGGTTCCAGAAATCCTCCCAATGGCTCTGCATTTCTCCCATCACCTCCAGGGCTGCCTTCCCAGAACCCGCTAAGCAGGGCGACGCCTGCCGGGGGGGCTTAGAGCATCTGCGGGAAGGGGCGGGGCCACCCCCGCTTCACCTGGAGGAATCCGGAGGGCAGCACCTGGGCAGACTCGGCCCGGAGGCACCCGGGAAGGGCACTGCGCCCCTGCTGGGCAATCGGGGCCCCCGCCCCCCGCTCCACCCACCTCCTCTTCTGATGCCTCGGAGTGCAGGATCTCAGCCAGGGAGTCGCCAGCCTGGGACTGGATCACGTCCACCAGCATCCGTTTGGTGCTTCATCCCCAAAAGAGAAAGGCCAGAGAGAGGGCACCGGTCACTGTGGGCAGAGGCTGAAAGGGTCACGGAGACGCTGCCCAGCAGGAGCCCCGGGAGAGGTCACACTGTCTGAGCTCTTTGGGCTGGGATTCTAGGAAATGGACCTGCAACTGAGGGATCGTTTTCCCAGGGCCCCTTCCTGACCAAGCTGTGACCCTCACGGAGCAAAAAGGGGCACGTCCAAATTCCGCTCTGAGCCACCGTTCGGTTAAGAGCGGCTCTCTTTGTAAGCCACCACTCTAGTTCCCCTAATGCGTCTCCGTCACAATGCCAACACGGCCACAGGCGTCGGGTGCAATAAGGGTGGGAGGTGTTGAACCAATCTAGATGCCCTCGGCCTTCTCCGCCCGAAGGGGCCCTTCGCAGTCAGAGAGCGGAGCTCCCCACGGGGCGGCAACGGCTTCCTCCCTTCGACTGGCTTGCACGCGACCTCCGACTGGCCACCTTCCCCTGGCTTCCCCAGTGGCTGCTTGTGGGAAGCCGGTGGGAAGTGGCAGAGGGGTCCTTGCTTAACCCCCACAACCATCCCTTAAGGACGTAGCCGCGTGACTTCACGCTTCACCTAAAGTCCCTTCCCACCGGCTTCCTACGTCGCGGAGTGTCTTGGTGCTCCCGAGTGTCGTCACCCGCTTGCTATTCACGGGGTTTGAGGGGGGGGGAGCCGGGCCCGACCACCTTCCCTCGCAAGGGGACGCAGTCACCTACCTGAGCCACAGGCCTTCGGCACCTCCTTCCCCCTCGGCTTCGGCCTCCACCCCGCCGTACCTGCCGCTGAGCGTGAGCGAGAGCTCCGTTCTGGAGAGCTGAGGCAGCGCGTCCTCCCAGGGCCCGTTCGCCCCCTGCCCCGGGCCGTGGCCTGCCGAAGGACAGCAATCCAACAGGTTCATGGGAGCCAAGGAAGAAAGCAAGGCAGGTGCCCCACACTCCTTTGGGCGGATGTTTGCATGGGTTGCGGGAGCCTAACGTTTGGCACCCTAGCCGCGCGAACTGAAGGCCAGGGAGGGAGGGGGGAGAGGCCGATAGAAGAGAATCTCTGTAGCCCAGGACTGAGCCATGACGCCCGTGGGACTCGCTGAGCTGGCTTGTCTTCCTGAAGGCCTTTCAGTCCCCATCTAGATAACATCATCAGTGCTAGAAGGTGGCAAGGTTTGCTCCAGGGGTGGCCACCAGTTCTCTGCCCGGTTGCTGGGTGGGCGTGGCCATGGTGGGCGTGGCCTAGTCAGCCTCCTGCACCATGGCCGGGGGAGGGGGGGCGTTTTTGCCCTCCCCGGGCTCCAGAGGTCCTCCGAAACTTCTAGAAGGCCCATTTCTTCCCCCCCCCCAAGTCTCCTGCACTTACCTGGATCCAAAACGGGCCAGGTGGAGACTCCTTGGAGGGGAGGGCCAGCCAGTTGTTGCAACTACCAGTTCGACGAACCAGATGTAAAATCAACATCCGGTTCACCCAAACCAGTGTGAACCAGTAGCAGCCTGGTTTGCTCCCTGTTTACGCCCAGCGGCTCGCCCTGTCAGTGCGGGTGGGGATACAGCGGCCCCACCACTCTCTTGAAAAGCCTGGTTTAGGGTTATAAATGTGAAGGGCCCCGTTTCTTGACTTTGCTATGAGTTGATTAAACATCACGACCGCTGTTTGTATCTATGTCTGTCTGTCTGTCTGTCTCTCTCTATCCTGTCTATCTATCTCTCCATCTATCCTATCTATCCTTTCTGTCTATCTCTCTCTCTCTCTATCTATCATGTGTCTCTATCTATCTATCTATCTATCTATCTATCTATCTATCTATCTATCTATCTATCTATCTATCCATCCATCCATCCATCTAATCTATCTCTCCATCTATCCTGTCTGTCTGTCTGTCTCTATCTAATCTATCTCTCCATCTATCCTGTCTATCCTTTCTGTCTATCTCTCTATCCATCCATCCATCTAATCTATCTATCCATCTATCCTGTCTGTCTGTCTCTATCTAATCTATCTATCCATCTATCCTGTCTGTCTGTCTATCTATCTATTTTTGTGGACGTATTTACTGCTCTACTATTTTTAATTGTTTTATAATTTTAGAACTGTAAGCCACCTGGTTGAGTTGGGTGGCTTCAAAAATTGAATGAACGACATGCAGAAACTGAGACGGGAGAGACACGCCCGTCTCTGGCAGGCCAAAATTAAGAAGAGTCTGCCAGCACCTTTCCCAACTGGCAAACTTTATGAGGACCGTAAGTTTCTGGTGAGCTGCAGCCTCTTATAGAACCGGCATTGGAAAAGGTGCTACCGGAGGCCTCCTCTTTGGGGCAGGAACAGGGCCCGCTCCCACGCCAATGGAGTACCGGGAGGGACGCCGTCCGTCCGAAGGGTGCCCACAGCTTACCTATCAACGAGGCAACGGTTGGCACCTCTCCAAGGTCTTGCAAAAGTTTGTGCAGAACATCCTCGGGATCGGGAGCCAAGGAGTGTTGGTGTTCTAGCAGCAACTGTGTGGTTGGCAGAGAAGGAAATTCCCGGTGCCTTATTTACACAACTTGCCTTTCCAAATTGAGTAAAACAAACATCATTTGGATCATCAAAATACAGTCTTAAAAACATGAATCGACGAAGGGATAAGCAGAAATAAGACAACGAAGATGAAGAATCTGAGTAGCAAGAAAGCCATAGACAGTTACTCTAAATCAGGGGTGTCCAACCTCGGCCCCTTTAAGCCTGGAGGACTTCAACTCCCAGAATTCCCCAGCCAGTCAAGTCTTAAAGTGTCCAAGGTTGGACATCTGCCGCAAACCAAATGGCTTTGTGGAAAAGAGATACAGCCAAGGGGGAAACTAGAAGAAGGCAAAAGTGGGCTCAGGTCTACAAAAAACTATGGGCTTATTTTAAAAAAGCCAGATTGTTGGATTTTCACGGGTCAAGCCATAAAGCCTGGCTTGCAAACTCATAAAATCACAAACAAGCAATCCGGAGATTGGTTTGGCCTATGCACAAAAGCAATGATTTCTCTCCCCTCAAATCATTTTTTTTTTCTGACATTTGAGGTTTGCACCTTGTGGGTTTCGACCAGCTCCCCAACGGTTATATAGACCACTGGTTTGGTGATGGCCACCAGCTCTGAATATTTGTCCACATTAAATCTTTCTTCCGGTTCAGGGACCAAACAGGCTGCGTCGATGAATGCTCTGGAAGAGACAGAAGGAAAAAACATGGAAGGGACCCTGGAGGTCTTCTAGTCCAACCCCCTGCTCAGGCAGGAGAACCCATACCATTCCAGACAAGTCCAGTCTCTTCTTAAAAACCTCCAGTGACGGAGCACCCCCAGTTTCTGGAAGGAAGCTGTTCCTCTGGTTTATTGTCCCAACTGTCATGAAATTTTTCTTCAGTTCCAGGTTGAGTCTCTCCTTGATTACCATATTTTTCGGAGTATAAGACACACTTTTTCCTCCCCCAAAAGTAGGTGGAAATATCACACAGTGAATGTTGAAGTTCTGCTCACCCGCTGGCCCTCACCGTTCGGCCTCCGCCTCCCAGCGATGTGCTTCCTCGCAGCAAACAGCCGGGTCAACTTCAGCACAGCCTGATTAGCAAAAGCAGCTGACTGTCGGTGCGCGGAGGCTGAAAATGGGGTGCATGGAGACGGCAATAGGCGATGGCAATCCCTGCAGCCTGAAACAGCTGATCGTCGGGAAGCCGATCCAACCGACAATCGGCTGCTTGTGCTAATCAGGCTGGGTTGAAGCTGAAACCGGCTGTTTGCTGCAAGGAGGAAAATCGCTGGGAGGCGCTAGGTGCGTCTAATACTTTGGAGCATATTATACTCTGAAAAATACGGTAGTTTCCATCCGTTGCTGCTTCTTCTTCCTTCTTTTCTTTCACTAGACATGGTGGGCCGCTTCCCTCCCTTGCAAGCCATATTCCACGCTGCCACCTCGCCTGATAAGGTGGGGGTGGGGTGATTTAATTGAGTAGTCCTAAGTAGACAAAATAAAATTCTTTCCTTAGTTCAAGGTTTTTAAGTGTGGCGCAGGATGGAAAAGGGATCTTACTCTGGGACGGAGTGTGATTGGTCCGTGTGATGTGACGATGGGGGGAAAAAGGGGGATGGATTTTAGTTTGGGACATTGTGGGAAGTCCAGGAAGCTTCTAGTTCCGAGAATCCACAGATGTGCCAGGTGCTGTTCCAATAAAGATGCTTTTGAGATGACGCTTGTCTTGGAGGTACCGACCGGACTGGAGGTTTGCTGGAATGTTGACAGCAAGATCTTGAATGGCAGAGGAATGCTCTCCATCACCCCTTCCAATATTTCGTTGATTCATTTATTTATTTGAATTTGAATTTGTTGCCTGCGTAGCTCCAAGGGACTCTTCAGGATGAGCAGACGGAAGCACCTCCCCCTTCCAGCCGCACCCAGCGGGTTAGAATATATGCCGGTGGGCAACTGGGGCGACTCCCAGTTAACGGGCCAGGGATGCCAACGCAGGCACCCGAGAGCTGCAAATGGGGCAGGGGTCCCATTGCACTTGGAGTGGGGAGGGGCTCTCCTTTGGTCCTTCTCCGGGGTTTGGGAGGGAAGATAACGGCCAGTGAGACGGGCATTTCATCCCCTGACCCACCTGAATTTATGGTGCGTTTCCTCCAGGTACCGATTGACCACGTTCAAGTGGCCGTTTTCTCCCTCGAAAAGCTGGTTGGCAGCCGCGTGCTGCAGGATCTTGGCCACAGAGGCCAAATTGCGCCTCTGGTCAGGGTGCAGGGGTGCCCCAGCAGAGACGTCCACCACATCAAAGCCGTCTGGTGCCACCACCGCCGGGTTCATGAAGCGATAGTAGAGCAGGTTGCCCACCACCTACGACGGGAGGGCGGCAGGTCTTACTTGAAGAAGCAAGGCTGGTACCTAGGCGGCTCATTGTTTCTGGCGGCGCCAACGCGTCTGCGGCTGACCCCCCTGTTCGACTTGATCCACCCCTTCCCAGGGCTTAGGAACCTGGAGAACCTCGAGCCAAAATACTGGCCTTCCCTCTTGCGAGCTGCTGCGATGGGGCTGGCCAGTATGGACAAAGGGGCCGCAAGCGTTTTCCTTGAGTGACCCTCCGTCTAAAGGCTACTCCCGAGCTGCTTCTCTGGGCAGCCCCCGAGCCACCGAAAGGGGTGCCCTGGATCAGGGCAACTGGACAAACCCCCTCTGGACTCTCCCTGGGGGATCCCGGGCAAGGACTCAACCAGGTTAAAGCTAGTCCTCAAGGCCAATCAAATCGAGAGGGTGTTGTGACTGGCCGGGTGACCTTCGTGCTATCTAACACAGAGTTTTCATTTGGTCAAAAAGGATCTTTTCGCAGACCAAGGACAGGCGGAAGCAACGATGGATCCCTGCCCTGTAGGGCCCCCCCACCCCCCCCAACCTTTGGGGCACCAGGGGCTGGTTCTGTGGAGAGGAGCTTTTCCACAGACTGGAACAGTTTCTGGCCTGGTGCTGGCCCAGAGACCAGGCGTGGGGGACCCCTCCCAAGGTGATTGATGTCAGGGTTCTAAGGTTGACTGAGAAACTCATAAAATAACCTTAAATGGAGGGAAATAGAGCAGACCCTGGCCTAGCCCCTCACCCCACCCCACCCCAGGCTCCAAACCTTGTAGATCTCTTCCTTGGAGGCACCTGGAAACTTCTCCGTCAAAGTTGCCTTCAAGACTTTGGCCACGTAGCGCATCCCATACCTGAAAGGACAGCCAGATTTTATTCCTGGGTGGGCAGGAAGTAGCCCCCTTCCCAAGACGCAGCTCCTGGGTACGCTAAGAGAAGAGGGTGGAGAAAAATGGTCAAAAATGGGGTCCACCTGTGACCTCCCCTCTCCAGTATGGAGCAATTCGATGGAAGGGTAGTTTTGGCGAGCATTAATCTGATGGGTGTGAAAACTGCCCCCCCCCACCTCTCCAAAAGGCTGCTGTTTTTATTTATTTATTTAGCGTATGGCATCTACGGACTCATCAGTCACCGATATGCAAATTTAGTTGAAACAAAACGCCAGCATAAATATCTGTGCAATAGAAAAGATAACATGCTAAATTAAAATAAAACCAAAGTAAGGTTTTATAAGGATGCTAATGGGGAAGCGGGATGTGGGGCAGTCGGAGGCCCCGTCTAGCCGTAATTTTGCCTTTTCTCTCTTCTTCCCTTGACTCAGTTTCCCCCCCCAGGGTTGTTTGCAAAGGTAAATTGCAAATTGAAGTGTCTTCCCCCTTTGGAGGAAGCATACACACGCACGTCCCGGGAACTGCTATCCCTATGTAGGGATGGGACCCTCCTGGGATGTTCATTTTATATTTTTGCGCAATGCCCTGCAGAGTCGTTGCGTGAACCCAGGGCCAGTAAGGTTGCAGCGGCTGCGTGGCCTGAAACGAGGGCGTCTTTTGCCATGTTGCCTAAAATCCCAGCCCGCCTTTTCGTCTGCCAGCCCGGCGGATGCCCCCGCCTGAAGCTTCGCGTGAGCTAAGACCGGGCTGCCAACTCTAGCAAGATTTCAAATCCGTACGGGATCTTGTCCACCGACGAGAGGATGGCCGAGAGAAACTTGTCTGCCAGCACAAGGAGATGGCCGAGGGAGATGTCCAGCCGCCTCTGGACCTCTGGGTGGCCGAGGGCTTGTTGTGGGGTGACGTTGTACGGCAGGTGGCTGGAGAGAGACAAAAACAGTGGCAGCAACTAGAGACAACAGTGTGTCAGCACGGTTGCCGTTTCTACCTCCCACAATTGAGAGTCAGCGTCAGTTTGCCTCATGCAGAAGAGACGTTGTGGGTGCCCGCCATGGCGACATCTCGGCTCCCCTCAGTCATGCCCCTGTTGGAGTCTGACTCTGAGGGGGAGGTCGAGCAGCTGACAGGGAGTGGGAGGGGGGCTCTGGTGGCTGTGGAGGAAACAGGGGAAGGGAAAGCGAAAGACCCAGGCCCAGCTGCTCTTCATCCTAGGCCACACAGGGAGAAACGGAGAAGGGACCAATGTGGCTTATGGGAGAGGAAAAGGCCCTGATCCCTTTCATTAGTTGCAGCTGGGAGAACAGGATATAAGAAGGGCGTTTGCACACAGCCCCTTGCTGGAAGCAAAGCGCGCATTATCTTTGTCGAGGCTTATCTGGGTTTTGGTGTCCTCCCATCTGTGTGTGCTGCGTTATCTTTTGGAAGTCTGCAATTTATCATCCTGGCCTGCTGTGTTAATGACTCCAGTGTGGTTTGTGTTGGTTTTTTTATTTTATTTCTAATTATCCTTACTTTTGGTTCGGACTGCATTTACTTTCTTCATGGACTGCTTTTGGCAGAGTTTGATATCAAGCGGAGGATAATTGGATGTTGGGGCTCAAGTTGGAGGCATTCAAGGCAATTTATTCTACCTTTGTGACTGTGTTATTTTTGTGTCACAGCCCAGAAGTGGAGAAATGGCCGCTCTGGCTGCCCACCTTTTCTGTCCGCTCTGGCACTCCATCTCGTTGATCCACCCCCTGTAGATCTCCACGGGGCTGGTGCGGATGCTCAGGCTCCTGTCGTGCAGGACCTCCTGCACCGGCTCTGCCAGGATCTGGCGCAGGGCGTTCTGCCCACGGGCGTTGCGGTAAAAGCTCACCACCATGCGGATCACTGTGGGGTTCCCCGTGAGGATGTCCCGCGGCTGGGTCACTCTGGACCTGGGAGGAAGACAAAGGCAGCACCTCGGATCTGGCGGGAGGACTTGGCTTGTTGGAATCCAGCTGGAAAGGTCGTAATCGGGGATCGTGGGATCCCGGGGATGCTGCAACCATTGTAAATATGAGCTGGTTGTGCCAAAGCACCTGCATTTCGATCCTGGGATTGTGGGGGATGCCGTGACAATTATAAGCGAGAGGGGCGGTTTTCACGTTTTTCGGTGCCGTCGCAACTTTGAATGGTTGCTAAGCCAATAATGATCAGCCTGGTATGTTCAGTGCTGGGCCCTAAAATTGGTAAACCTCAACAGACCTAAAGAAAACCATGTTTAAATAAAGAACCGACTAAGGCGGAAGCCTTCCCAACGGCAGGTGAGTTGGCATAAGTCCGTAGGGCGTAAGTGCCAGGAAAGGGATGAGAAGCACAGAGCCCCCAGCCGCTCGCTGGCCAAGCTGGGTGAGAAGGGGGCACGGCTGTTTCTTTCCTTTGCTTCTCCTGTTAAGGCCTGCAGGAAAAGGCGAAGCCAGATGCGTCCACCAGCCTGACCAATGGCTGCCTGGCCCGGTAACCTTTGCCTTGTCCATCCAGATTCAATAAAATGCCTTCCACCAAATGCCATTCGGTGCCCTCAACCAGGGCTCTCCAACCTCGGCAACTTTAAGCCTGGAGGACTTCAACTCAGCTTTGCTGCCTGGGGAATTCTGGGAGTTGAAGTCCTCCAGGCTTAAAGTGGCCGAGGTTGGAGAGCCCGAGGGGGGGAGCGGGGGGGGGGGCAAGGACTTACGCAATCTCCTCTTGCAGGGCCCGCTGGAATAGCTGGAGCAGAAGGTAAGCCTCTCTGGGGCTGGAGGCGTAATTGTAGAGGCTGAAGACCACCGACTCCATGAACTTAGTGGACTTGTTGGGTGGCATCTGCACGAGCAGCCTGGCCAGACACACCGGCTGAGTCTGGGAGGAGGAGGAGGAGGAGGGAGAGAAACAGCAGGAAAGGGCTATTGATGCGCCAACGGCTTTCCTGGACCGCGAGCCCCACCCGCCCACCCGGGCTGAGAGCAGCTAACAACCGCTGAGCCGCCCGGACGTCCAGGCAGGGCAGGGGACTCTATTCCCAGGGCACAAACCACAAACCTGGGGGGTGCAGTTGTCCAAGCTCGGATGCAATTGGATCAAGAATAACTGACGTAGATCGCAAGGCTTAATCCTTGATAGCAGTGGTCCCCAACCTTTTTTGTGCCGCGGCCCGGTACCGGCATCACAAAATCATCCGCGGCCCGGTACCGGCATCAGCACGCATGGCAAGGCGAGCCGAGCAACTGGCCAGCCAGCCGACCCCCACTTCTCCCCGCCACCTTCAACTCCTCCTTTGTACCTGTGCCAATGGGCTTCATGACGGCTTCGGGACGGTCGCTCGGCTCGCCTTGCCATGCGTGCTGAAAGAATCCTCGCGCCTTAGTTTTGTTCGAAGCCGCCCCCCCCTCGATGAAACTAAGGCGCGAGGATTCTTTCAGCACCCAAACGCCGCTTTCTACCCGGAAAAGCTCACCGGAAGCAGTTTTTCATCAAAACAAGATGGCGGCGCCCAGCAAACCGGCGGCCCGGTAGAAATTGTTCCACGGACCGGGACCGGTCCCCGGACCGGTGGTTGGGGACCCCTGCTTAATAGGACCAAGATTAAAGATCTCGAAGTTGCCTCTTGGATCTAATATTACTTTTGAGGGTCTGGTTCAATTTCACACAAGCGAAACCTTTCTTCCTTCCTTTTTGCATCGTGGCTGTGCGGGTAAGGTAGGCCTTAAGAAAAGAGGGGCTGCACGGGGGACCAGCGAGGGGCCCCGGGGTCATAAAGCAGACGTGGCCTGATGTTACTCTGTAGGAGCCCCGGCCGAGAAACTCCTCGTCGGGCGCGACGCAGCGGGGGAAGGGAGCCGCGGCTCGCAGCTTTGCCTCTCGCAAGGGCTGCTGGTCCAAGGCCACCAGGTGCCGCCCACCTGCAGGTGGTAGAAGAGGTGCTGGTAGGCCTCCAGCGCCTTCCGCTTCTCCTTGCTGAGCGCCTTCAGCCCGTTCTCCTGGCTGACGTCCATCCTGCTGGAGAGCTCCTCCTTGTTCTTCTTGGTCAGCGTCTTGCAATGGGACACCACCTCCTGCCAGGGGAGAGGCCGGACAATGGCACCCCCCTCCCCCCCCTCCCCACGCCTCCAGCTCCCCTCCCCACTCAGGAGGCCGCCGGCAGGAAGCAGGCTGCCCCAGGATGGGAGGGCGAGGCCGGGAGGACACACAAGGGCCCATTTCAACAGACACAAACACACACGCACGCACGCAGCAAGAGAAAGGGAGCTGAGACGCAGCTTTGGAAGAGGCGGGCCGAGGCGGGGCTGGCAAGGAGATCGTCTGTGCCTCTACCCAAGAAATGACCCCTTGGCCAGGCAGCTCATGGGCTCCGCTGCTCAGTAAGAGCCACTTCCGCCTTCGGGCGGAAAGGTCAAGGACAGGATGATTCCGCCTGGGCCACTTTAAGACGCGTGGACTTCCGCTCCCAGAACACCGCAGGGCCGGCCGTGGAATCCTGGGAGTTGAAGTCCTCCCGCCTGAGAGTGGCCGTGGTTAGGAGAAGGCAGGTCAAGTGCTGCTCTCCTCTTCCTCGGGAGGAGGCTAAAAGCCCGCAGGTTAATTCCCACAGTGCAAAATATTTACCGATTGCTACCGGCTGGTTTTATTTGACAAGGCAGCCACTTTGCCTCCCAAACTGGGGAAGGAGCCGCTTCTAAGCCAAGAAGGCCGGATTCCTGTCCCTGCGTCGAAACCGAGCGGCCGCTTCCACCGGCTCCCACCCTCGCCCAGAGCCCCCTCCCCGGCTGGAAGCAGCGCTCCCTTCTCACCTGCAGGGTGATCCTGTTCTTGACCAGCAACCCAATCTTGATGTCCATGAGGTTGAGGTCGCTCTCCAGCTGCTGGTTGGAGCGGATCCCCCTGGCCAACTTCTCCTGGAGCCCCCGCAGCTCCTCCTCCTCCTGGGTGTCCCGCTGGCTCTGCTCCAGCAGGTGGGCGAAACGCCGGATGACGCGGAGTGGGGGCTCCCTGCAGTGCACTGGCAGCCCGGAGAGAGAACGCAGAACCGGCCATCACCCTCCCTGCCCCCCTCCCCAGGAGCCCCCCCCCGGACCCTCCACCCCTCGGGGCGGAGGAGGGAGGGCTCCGTGGTGACCCTCGTGGGGAAATGCTCTCCGGCATTTCACGGGCGCTCACCGTCCCGCCTTGAAGCGGGGCCCAAGTGGGAGCAGCCGTTCCCGCCAACCTTGGGAAGGAAGAGCCCAGCCCCGGCCACTCACCCAGCATCCGATAATCCTCTCTTGCCTTGTTGGCCCGGACGAAGGCCTGGATCTTGACCACGGCAGCCACCTGTCAGAGACACAGGACAAGGGACCGCCTGCTCAGGGCCTGGCCGGGGCACCTTTCCCCGCTCGCAGAAGCCCCAAAGCGGGTAGCAGGTCAACTGGCCCACAGTGTAGTTTGGGGGTGAGCCTGGTTGGGTAAACCTAGTGATTTCCCAAGGGCTTTTCATGCCGAGAGAGCCATCCAGGTGGGCCCAGGATTCGCCAGCCTGGCTCTACAAGAAGGACCAGCCCAGGAAGAGGGAACAGAAATGCCCATAGCAGATTTTCTGCCCTTCTCCTGAATGAGAAGAATGTGGGGGAACAGAGAGCAGTAAAAAAGAAAAAACCCCTGATCATTGGATCATGTGGATCCCCAAAATCCCCTGGCTATCAAAAGCTGCCTGCTAAAAAGTTGGCTGCTCCAACCCGTTTCTTCTCCCGTCTGGAGCGCAGAGGTCGGGGAACGACGTCATTTAGAGAGACACACATTAATTGGGGACGCAGAACGGAGCCTCCACATTCAGGAGCAGCCCGAGGATGGAAAGGCCTGCAAAGGGGCTCGCTGGAGACATCGGGCTGGTCTCTTCCGGGAAGACCCCCACCACCACCACCACCAAAGGAAGACCCCCCCCTTTGTGACAGTCGGGACAGAAACACTCACGTTCTTCCTGAAGTAGCGCAGGCGTTCCAGGTACCGTTTTCGGGCAAGCCACATCCGAACCCAGGACTGAATCTGGTGCAGCAGGGATAGTGGAGGGAAAGCCAAACCGTTGGCCTCTCACGGGGGGGAGGCCCAGCCCCCCCTCCCCCTCCCCCCCAACTCACTTTGATCGCAGCAGCTGCGTTCCTCCGCAAGTAGCCCATCCTGTCCATGTAGCGTCTGCGTTGCAGGTGCCCACGCCAGGCGGCCTGGGAGCAGAGGGCAGGGGTCACCCTCCCACCCCAGGGGCTCTCCCCTTGGCCCCGGCCCGGCCTTCTTCCAGGGCCTTTCCCGGCCTTCCTCGCAGACTGGAGATGGGGCCCCCACGCCCAGCCCTCCAGAGGCAGCTAATGCCCAGCCGGTCGGGGGCTTCTGACCTCCAGAATGGGGCATTGCTGCTCCTCCGGGGCAAAGCCCCCCCCCCTCCCACTTTGGGCACCAGGGACCAGTCTGTGCCGAGAGGGTTTTCCGCAGGTGGTTCCGTGTGCTGCCTGCATCCTGCAGGCGGGGCTTCACTTGCTTGTCCGGCCCGGTTTCTGGCAGGACGTGGCCCCGTGCTGGTCCACGGACTGGGGGCTCAGGGAGCCCCGCTCTAGGGGCTGTGAGGACCCCCCGCCTCGCAAGATGGGTCCAAGGAAGGAGCCCTGCGGCAGATCGGGGGAGGCAGCCTCTCGGCAAAGGTGCCCTGCACCCACCTGGATTTGGGTGGCTGCCGGCACCTGCCGGGACAGGAGCCGCTGCCGAGCGGCCCAGCGCTGGCGGAAGAGGAAGCCCCTCATCCGGGCCTGCAAGCGGACGACCAGCCAGGCGTGGGATTGCCAGAGGCGCTGCCGGTCGTGGGTGGCAGACACGCGGGTGATGGCCCCCTGCGGGAGAAACAGACGAGCGGCCCGTCGGGACAGCTCAGCACACCCTTCACTCTGTGAGGCGCGAAGAGTCCACGCGGGGGGCCCACCTGATGCCCTCCAGGCCCAGAGGAGGCAGGAAAAGGGGGGCAGCCTGTGCCAAGACTGGGACCTTCCCTGGCGCCGGTGAGGCGGCACCCGGAAGGACCCGGCGAATCCAAAGCCCATCACGGCTCTGCTCCCCTTCAAGCCCCCAAACTCTCCGTGCCGCACTGCATGGACCCGGTGGGGTCCCCTAGGCTCTTGCCACACCCACCTGGATCTCCTCTCGGCTGAGGTGGGCCGTGTTGAGGGCGAGGGGCTGGGGCTGCTCCCAGGAGCCCTCAAAGGACCGCAGGTGGAAGTAGTACTCAGAGCCGTCCCTCAGTCTGTGCCGCACCCAGAGCGCCTCCGAGTGGCCCCCTGCACACACACGCACGCACGCACACACACGCGCCAAAAGCAAAACATTACGGCCAAAGGTTGGACAAGCAACTTAGGAAGGGGGGGGAGCCTCCCCGCAGCAGGGACCTCCCCCCCCTTTTACCTGCCGGCCTTCGTGCTGCCAGGAGGGCACTGAACTGCGCCTGATAAGCCGTGGCACACTCCGCCACCACGCCACAGAGGCCCACGTCCGGGCTGCGCAGGACGCGCACAGTCTGCGCTGCGTTCCCCTCCTTGATGGCCTGGTTGATGGCAGCAAGGCCCAGGGCCACTGTGGAAGATCCAGAGGGGGCTGCAGCTGGGGGCGGCAAGCCGGGGTCCCAGGGCAGTGGGGGTGGAGTGGGGGTCTCTCCCAAGCCCCCCCCCCGGTCCAGACGGCCCCTCAGCCCCTGGCCTTACTCTGCTGTGCCGCTTTGCTCTCCCGGTTGGCCTTGCAGACCCCCTCCTGGATGTCCTCCCACCACAAAAGCGCTCCGGGGTCTCCGGCCGCCTGCGCAGGGAAGACAAAAGGGCCCCCGCTCTGAGTCAGTCGCCCAGACCCTGGCGGTGCAGTCGGGACCAGGCGGACGAATCGTGGTTCCTCCGGAGAAGCCGCGACCGCCAGCTCCACAAAAGCCGAATCTGTTGTGCGTCGGTAAAACAAACCCAAGACCTGTCCAGGGGACGGCCTTACATTTCCCACACCAAGCTTGTGAGGTAGGTCCCACAGGGAGGAGGAGGAGGCCTGCAGAGCAGCCCGGGAGCCTCACCCCAACCGGGGTTGCCATCAGCCCCACAGCCGCCTCTGACCCCTTCAGGCGGTTGGAACCTTATTCCTCTTGTGGCACCAGGGACTGGAGTCCTGGAAAGAACCACCTCTCCACAGACTGGGGTGTGTGTGTGTGCAGTGATGGTTTTTTGTGTTACTTGGAGCTCCAGCACATGCACGGATGAAGCGTCTCTCACCGGTTCCTAACAGGCTGCGGACCAGCCTGGAAGTTGGAGAGCCCCGAGCTTTCCTGGCTCACAGACTTTACGAAAAACCAGGCGCCACAAGCTCCAATTGTGTAAGCCAGAGAAGGGGCCACTGGGTTCCTTCTGAGTTTGGATCCCGTAGACCCGTGGTGGCCAACCTATGGCACGGTGTGCCGGCACGCAAGATCAGATGCTCCAGATCAGAGGAGGCCCTGCGCATGGGTGCCCACCTCCTGCTAGCAGCTGAGCGTCAGGTATGTGCCGTGCATGCATGTGGGGGCGGGGCGCATGGGGGACGTGTGTGCACCTGCGCAGAGGGGGCACGTGTATGTGCAGGGGGGGCAACGCACGCATGCGCGTGGGGGGTGCACGCGCATTGCATTATGGGTGCAGGCACGCAACGACAAAAAGGTTAGCCACCACTGGTATAGATGGACTCGGCTCTCCTCGTGCACTGCCTAACTCAGCGCTTTAAGATGGTGTGGGGGGGGGGGGCCCCACCCCCCCCCCCCCCCCCCCCCCCCCGCAAAGTTCCCCAGGTTGAGAAATGCTGGTCTAACTGGCGGCACAACTCTTTGGGGACCGGGGTGCTGATCCTCCCCCAACTGGTACAGATGGCAGAATCCCCACGGGAGCCGCTGCGTCAATGCCCCCCCCCAAGCCACAGGGACATCCAATTCCAAAACCGAAAGTTCCCAATTCTGGGAATTGTAGCACAGGCAGCTGAAAGGCGTCCAGACTGGAGCAGGTGGAGGTGCTACTCCGAGAAAAGAGGCCAGAGGGAAAAAAAATGCGATCGATCCGGTTTCCATCTGTTCCTAGCACCATTTCCTGCTTCCGGCAAGAGGCTCGGCCAGAGAGAACACACCCAGTTTTGGGAGCGCCTGAAACCTGTTGGTCCAGGTGCCTGGTGGTGTTTCTGCATTAGCTCAGGAGACCCCAGCCCCACCCCAAAAATCTCTCCGCACACCCCCCCGCCTCTTTTCCTACCTGGGCTTTCTGCCTCAGCCTCTGGGCCAGAACGAAATGGTAGCGCTTGGCTACAGGGAGCATCACGTCGGAAAGGCCGGCAGAAGGCAGGAGCAGAGCCCTGAGGGTCTTCTCCGGACAGTCGCCCTGCAGAGCCTCATTGACCAACCGGACAGCAAGGATTTCTGCAATGAGAGAGGGAGGTCTCGGCTGAACCGGGGCCGGAGAGAAACACTCCAGGAATTATCCCAACGGGGCACCTCGGTGGTAGCTCCGGAATGAGCCCTGTATTTATTTTTATTTATTGGATGGCAAACACACATCTCCAAGGGAGACGGGCAGTTAAGAAATATGGAAAATAAGCCCCCTTTTCCTTCTCCTGGATTTCCCCCACATCAACCATCTGTCAGGACGCCAACAAATCCACCACCCCCGCTTCAAATCGTAAGTCTCTAGCCGCATCTCTCAGAGAAAATAAAATTGATTTATTAGAAGTGGACGTGTTGGTGTTAGCTGGATGCAGCTGGTACTAAAATACATCCTTCATTTCCCCCTTGACCTTGGTCTTCCCCCTCCACCCGCTGGATGTGTATTCTCCAATGGGACACGTCCATAGCCAAGAGTCACCAATCCAGTAATGTCCCTGCCAGGGTGATTATCTAGGCACTTAAGGAATGCACTGTTTTTCCCCTACTCCCTCTTTGCTGGCAGCTAAAAAGACCAAGGAGTATCTTTTTAGTTGACACAATCCTCGGAAGCGGGTTGGGCCAAGAGTCACCCCACTGGCTCCAAAGCTTCGCTTGCTGCCCCCGAGGCCAAGACAGGCCCGCAGCCCAGAAGGGCTCTTCAGCCGGGAGGCCCGGCCAGGCCCTTCGGCTCTCAGTTGCAGCCCCACACACAATTGCCCACCACAACGGACACCGAGTCCCCTTACTGTCCTGCTCCTCTTGGACGGCGGCGTTCACGTCCTTCACCGCGGCCTGGATGTCGTTCCAACTCAGGAAGTCGCGCCGAGTTTCCCGAAAGAGGCGCTTCTGTGTTGACAGGCCCTCAAAATAGCTGCAGAACCCGAAACAAAAGGGAATACGAGGCCGGAGCTGCAATTAGCGTCAGCTAGAATGCAGAAATTAATCACGGTCTACAGGTCGTCCTCGACGGACAGCGGGTTTGTTTAACGACCAGTGACAACTTTCTTGGCTTGCAACCTGCACTTACGCCCGTCACAGCACCGCTGTGTGAATCTCATCCCAATCTCGAGTCACGAGATTCAGCAATTCACGGCCTGGTAACATCGGCTGCAGCCATTGCGATTTGTGACTTTTTCCTGGGCCGATTTTCAGCAAAAATCGTCCATTGAGGAAGCCGAATTCAGTTAATCATGTGATTTGCTTAATGGCCATGGCGATTCACTTAACAACTGCCATAAAATTTGTCATTAAAGTGTGTTGAACATGACAATTTACAATGGAAATTCTGGTCCCGGTTGTGGGGGTGATCTGTGGAGCAACTGTCCTCTAAAGGGGAGGAATTTCTGGACTGTCAGCTGCCGTGCACCCAGCACCAGGTGCTGTGGAGGAGGAGGAGGAGGAGGAGGAGGGGGACACCCCATGCTGAGCCGGGCCTCTTACCGCTGTGCATGGCTCTCTTCGACGCTGGAGAGTCCCAGGGCGGAGCTGAGCAGGCTCCTCCAGAAGCTGCGGCTGTCTCCATCCTCAAGGGCCTGGTTGACCAGCGCCACTGAGGACAGCATCTCCACGGCCACAAAGAGCTCCTCCTGGGCCAGCTTCCCCTGCAACGCAGGAGGGCCAGGTACGGGCTTTCCCCCAAGCCAGGTGCGCCCCGCAGAAGCCCCAAGCAGGTGCTTCTGAGCCAGCCGATGGCTTCCCCCTCACAAGGCGCCCCAAGGCCTACAGCTGGGAGACCCCTGCAGCCCAGGACAGGTACCTGACTCGGCCAGTGGGCTCGGGGGGGCCTTTCCTTTTCCCGCTTATTTTGTAAAGGGTGGAAAGGGCCTCTTCGTCTTTAAAAAAAAAACCCACCCCGACGGGAAGGGTTCTGGGCCGAGAGGCGCGAAGGGAAAAGGAGGGGAACAGGGAGCTGCTCTGCACACGGGGAAAACAGCAGCTGTTTGAGCTGGGACTCCCCCCCTCCCAGGAAGCCTTCGGGGGTCCTCGCTCACCTGGGGGTGCTGCCGCTGCAGGGCAGACAGGTCTCGCTGGTAGAGCTGAGCGGCGAAGGGGAAGACCTCCGGCAGCTGAGCCTCGGGGTTCGCCAGGGCGCGCACCGTCTCCTCCGCGATTCCTCTTCGCAGGGAGGCATTGATGTGGCTCACAGCCTGGGCGGCTGGACAGGGGCAGGGGGCATTCTCAGGTGTTTGAGAAGAAGGGGGTGTTGCGGCAAGACCGGTTAAGGAAAGGCCCAAGACCGAAAGGGGAGGTGCAGGAGTCCCCGGCAGAACTCTCCCCAGGGGTCCTCTGCCCCCCCCCGCCCCCCCCAAGAGCAAAGGGACACCCAACCAGCCAAGGCTGCCCTCCCACCCCCCCCATAGGTCCTGCCCTGGAGCACAACGCCACTCACCGGCACGCTCCTCATCACTTCTCTGGTTGGCCATGTAGAGTCCAGCTTGAATTTCTTCTTGGTCAAGGAAGTCAACGTACCCCAATTCCTGAAGGAAAAAACAAAAGAAAAAGAAAGAAGGGAGAGAGAGAGAGAAAAGGAAGGAAGGAGAGAAAAGGAAGGAAGGAAGGGATTAAAAGAAAAAAAGGAGAGAAAAGGAAGGAGAGAAAAGAGAGAAAGGAAGGAGAGAAAAGAGAGAAAGTGTTCTGAATAAACCACGAGGAAGAGAACTGGCAGAGACGATCAACATTCGCCTTGGTAGAAGAGCTTAGATACTGGAGGCATGCTTTCACAGGCAGCCCCCATCCCAGAATCCCCCTTCCCCTTCCTGATTTCTCACGCTCTCACAGGAGGCGGATGCAAGAGGAGGGTCATCCAGGACACGCCCCCCCCCTCCCTCCCTGCTTCCCTTGGCGTACCAGCGCCTTCTCTTCCCGGTCAGCGGACAGTTGATCCAGGTACCAGCCGGCGTTCTCCCGCCGCAGGCTCTTCAGGGCCAGGATGGGATCTTGCAGAAGGCGGTACAAGGTCCGGGGGTCCTGGGCCTCCAGGGCGTCATCCACCATCTCAAGGGCACTCCTGGCTGATGGGGAGGAGAGGGTCGCAAAGGACTCGCGCAAAGACGGGGAAGGGCAAGGGGCAGGTTTGTTCTGCAAGCAGCCGACCCGATAGCGGCCCAGGCTTAGCAAGGACCCCTCAGAACCCCCCAGATCGATGGCCAGGCCCTCCCCACTGGGGCCAGGGAAGCCGGAAAGGCCCCCATTTCTTCTACACTGAAGGAACGTATAAGGTAAACAGGGGACGATTTTTTGAATTATTAGAACAAGGATAACTTTACTGAACAATGAATGGAATAGCACTATCAGATAAAACTGCAAATATGACAATATTGTAAAATAAGATTGGAGAACATTTTAAGAAAAACGAAATAAGCTAAGATGCGAACTGGGATTGGATAAAACAAGCGTAATGCATTTAATATTTGAGAATATTTAAAGGAAAATGAAACAAGTAATAACATGATGTGAAACGGAAGGAGAAAGATGAATACGTAACTAGGGTCGTGTTTGTATTGAAATGTAAAAACCTGGAACCAGACTGCTCGCCAAAAGAGGTGGTTTTTAAAGTGTAAAAATTAAAATTAAAATTAAAAAAGAAAAAAGAACCGCCCAGAACAATGACCAGACCCACACAAGGAATTTTCTCTCAATGCGCATGCAAAGCAACAGAATAAGGATAGTCATAATTCCAATGAGAGAGACGAGTAATGAAATTCGGAAGAATAAATAATAGTTCTACAGCCATACTACGTAGACAATGCTAGTAATAATCAGCGTTCCTCCAAGTCCACCCCAAACAGAATGGGAAAAGAAAGCCAGCCACGGTTAGAGCCTTCAAGAGCCCAAACCGTGGTCTGGACCAGCGTTTCTCAGCTGGGCAAGTTGAAGATGGATAGACTCCAACTCCCAGAATTCCTCAGTCAGCCTAACTTATACGGTTTCAATCCCCGTCCTGGTCTACTCACTGTTCACCCAATTGATGCTGCCTTGAATTTCAGCTTGGGTCAAACAGCGATCGTAGATGTCTTCCCCATCTGGTATCTTCTGCGGGTGCTGAGAACAAGCAAAGAGAAAGCCAAACGGTCCCCCATTGGGCCACCTCCAGGATAGCTCCAAGTGAAGGAAGGAAATGTGCAGGAGGAGAACGAGAAACTGACCGGAGGGAGCAGGGAATCAGCCCGCCACCCGTGTTTGCCCCTCTTGGAACTTACCAGAACAGGGGGGAAAAATTGCAAACAGAGGCTACTTTGCACCCCCTAATTACACCTTGGCAAGCACTTTCCCACTTGCATCACCGGGGGTGGGAGCTGAAGGCACCTGAGTAGAGTTTCCCTCCCCGGAGCGCGGAGAGGCTGCTCATGTGTCCCAGGACCGCCAGCAAATGGTCGGTTCCCTTCTGCAATCAGCCGAGCCCGACTCAGCGGGGAGAACAGGTAGGGCATTTGGGGTGGTGGTGGTGGAAGAAACCTTCCTCACCCGATTCTTTGCGTTCTCGGCCTTCTCTCCTTTGGCCCGGCAGAGCTCTTCCTGGTAGGGGCCACCCAAACGCTCCTGCACGCCCACCAGCATGGCGCTGGGGTTGCCCAAAGCCGCCACGGTCTCCGCCACGATCCCCACTTCTACCGCCCTGTTGATGGCCAGGATGGCCGCGTGCACTGGAGGGGAGAAGCCGGATTAACGTGGGGGGGGAGGGGAGAGCGGCAGATCCCACGGACCCGACAGCGACCAGCGCCTACGGTACCGGCTGCTTCGTCGACCGAGAGCTCCTTAGCCAGGATCCCGCCGATTTTGCTGAAGGTGGGCAGCTGCAAGCCGTACTTCTCCAGTTCCCCTTTCATGTGGTTTATTTCCTCATCTGGAATAAGGCAGAGGGGAAGGGGACGGGTCCAGGCGCCGGGTCAGGCCAGAGGGTCTGGGCTGCCCTCCCCCCCCCCAAAAAAATCCCCCCCTCCTGTCGATCAATGTTTAATGAGCAGAATCCTGGAGGTGAAAGGGGCTTCTTGGGCCTTAAGAAACTGAGTTGCTTCATTCATTCATTCATTCATTCCACAAGACCCATCGGTTCTCCTACAACCCTGGGCAATTTAAGACCAGTGGACCAACTCCCAGTATTCCCCAGTCGAACTCTGGGAGTTGAAGTCCGCATGCCTTAAAGTTGCCTCGGTTGGACACGCCTGTCCCACAGCAACACAGTGAGCCTAATTCACAGTCCAAATGCCAAATAGATGAAGCGCCGTGCAAAGAAGAGAACCGGCGGGCAGGGAGAGGTTGCATTTTTGTAGCTGCCTTCAAACTCTAGGATTCTGTCAAAAGGCCCCAAAGATTCCCCAGGTCTCCTTCTGCCCGCCTTACCTGTAAAGTCAACTTTTCCATACAGGTCCTGAATCTGGGGGGCCAGCCCTCGCCTGAACAGGTATAAGCTGGAAAGCGGATGAGAGAAACGACGGGGTTCAGCGTGGATCGAACACGAACGGGGAGGCGGATGGCTCACCAAGCGGCAGGCGCGAGGCTCACCTTAAGGCGTGGATGCAATACACCACCCGGGGCATGTTCTTCTTGTCGTAGATGTCGGTGGTCTCGGGGTGAAAAATCTGGGACAAGGGAGCGGGGGAGGGGGTTCAGAGCACGGAGGGGACCCGCTGCCAGACACCCAGCGAAGGTGGGAGGGGTCGAGGGCCTCACCACAGGCAGCCCGACGCGGCTCATGGCGTCCCGCCAGCGGTTGATGTTGTCCGTGTGCCGGAAGTGGAGGCCGCAGGCCTTCGAGTGGGAGGGGAGAAGAAGAGAAGGCGGTCACCTCTCTCAGGCCCATCACGGGACGCTGGGGGCAGGGACCGCTCCAGGAAGGCTTGGCAGCAGTGGCCAGTTCCTCCCCCCCCTTTGCTGGGCCTTGGGAAGGCCCAAGCTGTAGTCCCTCCTCCACAAAATAGGAAGGCGGAAGAGTCTTTCTTCTAGAAGAGGGGAGTCCAACTTGGCAACTTGAAGACGTCAAGCCCTGGAATTCCACAAGCCTTCAAGTTGCCAAGATTGGATTCCCCTCTTCTAGATGGTCAGGTGGACGTGGGAAGAGTGAATTGGGGTGGTGGTGGGGTGTCCCTGTGAGGCCATCTTGCCCTAGGACTCCAGCGACGGGGTCCATCTCTCCAGCCTTCAGGTGGGGGGAGAAGCCACGGATTGTCCCAATGAGCAGAAGGGGGAGGGAAGGACCAGCTGCCTTGTGCCCAGGAACGGCCGAACCCTGACCGGAACCAGAAGCTGCCCGTCTCCCTTTGGGGTCTCCACCCTACAGTCTCGGAAGCTCCTCCTGAGCCAAATCCGAGCTCGGGTGGCCTGCAGGAGCCCCAACTCCAGGCTCCCCACCAGCTTCGGGGCTTGCAGGGCGGCCTTTCCAAAACTCCCCTCCCATTCCTGGCCCCCAGAGGGGACCCCCTGCCTGACCGGCAGCCCCCGTGAAGCCCCCGTCTCCAGCCCCGAGCCCCTCACCTGGAAGCGGGCCTGGTCGCGGTCATAGATCTTCCCCAGGGGAAAGGCGTCCGGAGCAAAGAAATGCGCCAGTTTGGCCAGGGTGACGCCGTTGCGCAAACTCTCCTCCAGCTCGGTCGGGGGGGGCAGCGGCTCTTTCAGGCAAGCCTCTATCCAGCTGGGGTGGGGGGGAAGTGGGGCAGGGTTATTACGCCTCTCCAGCCCAGGGCATCCGTCGGAGCAGCCCCTCAGGAGACCCCTAGCCTGACCTGGGACCCACTGTCCTTTTAAAACGAGGGGCTGCCCCTCTAAGACCTCTGGCCAAGGGGGGGAGCAGGAGGAGGAAGCCTCTCTGGCCACAGTTTCCTTGCAGACCTTTGCACTCCTGCGCCCACATCCCTCCTGTCCCTTGTCTCTGGGAGGCCGTCCAGCGGCACCCCTTCCCCGAAATAAGGCTGGAAGAGCCCCCCCCCCGTTCTTTCTTCAGAAGGGCAGTGGTGGGAGGCCCCATTCAGACCCACTCGGGCTCACTCAGCCCCTCCCCCATTCAGGTCCACTTGCTTCAAAACTTCAGCACATTCAGACATGGGAAGTCAACCTGATGAGGAAGAGCGGAATGTATGGCCGGGCAGAGTTTCTCAACCGGCGGGTGGACTTCAAATCTCGGAATTCTGGGGGCCAAGGTTGAGAAACTCTGCTCCGGTGAATCCCGCAGGGAACAGGGGTTGGTCCGGATGACCTCGGAGGTCTTTCAGCTCTCCAGCCTCATCACCTATTATAATTAGGGCCTCCAAGTTGTTCTTGGCTCCTAGCAAGGACGTGGATCGATTTTAATCCACGATAATTGATCACACATATTGCAAGGGAAGTTACCGCTTCTCGGGGGTGGGTGGGGGGAGTCTTTCAAATACAAAGGGCTTCCCTGTGAAGGTGAATTGTGGGGGGGGGGTTCTCTCCCACGCAGCCACCCCCCAAAACTGTCTCACCGCTTGGCTTCCTCCAGGTGGCAGAGATACTGGTAGGCCACGTTCTGCCGCCGCCTCTCGTCCATCTCATCCGCCGTGAGACGCTCATCTGGGGGAGGGGGCAGAAAGAATTTCACCCCCCCAAGACAAAATTCCACGAGACCCCCGACCAATTTTATAAGTTGCCCAGGCACCTCCTTGGTGAGGTGGGCAGACTATAAATTTAATAAATAAGTAACTGTCCTTCTGGGCCTCCCAGCCCCCAAGTGAAGGGGCCCAAGATGCCCCCCCCCTCCATCCCACTCCCCCGTCCTGGAATTCGCCTTCAGTTCTGGGGAGGCAGCCCGGCTGCGCTTTGGAACTGAGGGAGGAGCGTTTTAGGCCAGCAGTTTGTGAATCCGACCTTTTGTCGCTTAGTCAGTGAGCCACAGCCGAGGGAACCACAAATGCAACAAGCCACAGCGAGTGTCTGGATCGGTTTCACACAGAATATTTGCATGGATACAACAGCCACACCAGCGCACGCAACAATCTGCACCTGAGCTCTCTCCAGACCTTGAGCTTATCTCGAGGACATGCTTGTTTGTTCTCTGCCAACTGAGTAGGGTTTCTCAGCCCGGGCAATTTTTTAGAGGCATAGACTTCAACTCCCAGAATTCCCTAGCCTACAGATAAACAAACATGGCTGGCTGGAGATTTCTGGGAATTGAAGTCCACACCTCTAAAAGTTGCCAAGATTGAGAAACGTTGCTCTGAACCAGGGACAAGGGCCCTAGAAGAATGTAGATGTAATACAAACATAAAATAAAATAAAATAAAATAAAGCAGGGATCTCCAACCTTAGCCATTTTAAGACTTGTGGACTTCAACTCCCAGAATTCCTTACCCCTGCTATGCTGGCAGAGGAATTCTGGGAGTTGAAGTCCACAAGTCGTGTGTGTGTGTGTGTGTGTGTGTGTGTGTGTGTGTGTGTGTGTGTACACGTGTACATATATAATTTATTTTGACAACAAACACTAGACAAATACAAACATAAAACACCAAATAAAACCATCTTTCCGTTATATACAGTGTGTCAGTTGGTACATGTCTCTTGTGCACAATATCAACTGCCCTTCTAGTTTAAATTAAACTTCATATTATATATAAATCAACTATGCATATTATATTATCATTATTAAATGCTTATTAGACTCTAATTCAAAGTCCACAAGTCTTAACGTGGCCAAGGCTGGAGACCCCGAGCCCTGCCTGAAGCCCCCCTGGGCCCGGCCGACCCCACGCCCGCCCCGGGAGGGGGGCTCCCCCGGCCAGCCAAGCCCCGCAGCCTGCCGACCCTGCCCCGCCCGCCCGGCCCCCCCTCCCGCCTGCCTGCCCGCTTCGCCTCCTCCCTGCGCGGTCAGAGGGGCGAGGCCCCGCCGGGGGTCTCCCTCCCTCCGTCCCCCGGCCCGCCCGGCTGCCCTCGGCCCGCAGACTCACAGCCGGAGGGAGCCCCGCCGCGCTGCGCCATGGCTGCTCCCGCTCGCTCTGCCCGGGCGGTTTGAATCTCCCGCGCCGCCGCCGCCGCCCAGCCCGCCCTCGCCCCGCCCTCTCGGCTGGGCCGCCGCGGAGGCTCCTGGGCGCTGTAGTTTCCCCGCAGGAGGCGTGGCCGCTCGGAGCCCCGCCCAACCTGCCCGCTTTCCCCCTCCCGAATTCCCCCCGGCGGGGCGGGCTGGGCTGGCCGGAGCTGGGGGCGTCCCGGCCGGGCGAGCGGGGCTTAAGCAGCCGAAGGGGAGGCCCAAAGCCGCGGTCTGGGCGGTAGACTGTCCCTGAGCGGGGAGGCTCGAGGGCCCGAGGGGCGGGGCCGGGGCGGGGCCTGCGGGGCCTGCGGAAGGAGGCCGCCTGTCCGCATGTCCGGGCCGCGGCGGGTGGCTTCTCTGCTGGGACTCGGGCTGCTCCTGTCCAGGGCGGCGGGCGCGGGACGCTGTCCGGCCCGGCTCTGGCCTCCGCCTCCCCGCGCCATGCAGAGCGCCGCGCCGCCGGGCCTGAAGTTCCTGGGGTAGGCGGGAGACGCGCTCGCTCCCCGGGGCGGGAGGCCAGGAGGCTTCGGGCCGGGCGGGGGGGCGTCCTGCTGCCTCCGTGCCGGGGGGGCTTGGGGGGCTCCGATCCGGCGGCCTCGCTTTCCACCCCGCCCCCCGAGAAAGAGCCGGGCTTAAAGGGAGCCGAGCGGTCTGCCGAAGCCCCTTCCGTGCGGGGCTCCCTCCGCGGCTGCCTTCGCCCCGCTGCCCCGGGCCTGCAAGGGGCGTGTGTGTGTGTGGGGGGGGGGGGGTGGGGCCGGGGGGGGGCGGGGGGGCGGGGGGGGGCGGGCCCCCGGGGGGGGGGGGACGGGAGGTCGGCCAGCTGGGCACGGAGGCCTCCAGCACCAGCCGCCGCCGGGCTCCTCTTGCGGGGCAGCCCCGGCAGCTGCTCTTCCCCCGTTCCCGTTCTTCCCTTGGGGAAGGGAAGGGCGCCAGCCATCCAGCCGTCCCTCCCTCCCTCCCTCCTGTCCCCTCCAGGCAGAAGGAAGCCCAGGCCATCGACCAGGAGCTCTTCCAGGAGTACGGATTCAGCGTGGACCAGCTGATGGAGCTGGCTGGCCTCAGCTGCGCCACGGCCATTGCCAAGGTAGGAATCCCAGGGAAGGGGAAACAAACCCTTCGCCCGGCCGGCTGTCTTGAGCGGCCCCATTTCCAGAGCTGGGTTGGCACAGCGTGCTGGGGAGGCAGAGCAGGGGAGGGATGCTGGCCTCCCTGGGCCTCCTTCCCACGGAGGAGATAAGACGGCCGTGTGCCGCAGGGCCCGAGTTTCCTGGGCAAAGCGTGAGGTTCGCATTCGTCCTCTCAACCCACTTTAGAGTGAAGGGTTTTTTCCCCCTCTGTGAATGCACACACAGCGCTGCGTAGCGAAGGGAGAGCTTTCGGCCTGGGTACGGATGTAGGTGCCCAGGTTATATTTCCAATGGGATGAAGTCAAAAAACCGTCTTTCCGGTCTTGGTTTTTCTTTTTCTATCCTTTTTCGGGGAGGGGCCTTCCTTTCAAGTAGACATTGGGGGAGGAGGGAGCCGGGAATACAAAGCAAATGTATAAAACCCCCATTTATTGTTGAAGGTCACCAAGTCCAGGAGTCCTAAAACAGAGTCCATAAAAACTATTTATGTATAGTTTTCCCTGTTTCAAGGAGTTTAGGGATAGTTAGTTCATGAGGACTAGAATCCTTGCTCTTCATTAGATTAGGAATCTGGAGACTCTTTACCGCTACCCGCTTTGTGTTTGTGGGTCTCCTGGGAAACTTGCCATTCTCAGGACAAACCTCTTCCCCCCCCCCCCCCCCCCCCCCCCCCCCCCCCCCCCCCCC